ATTGGAAATATCTCTTCTAAAACAGGCTGTACCTGCTGCACTCTCCCATGCCGCCCAGAGTTGACGGGGAGCCAGTGGGGTCTGTGGGGAAGAGACTTTCCCTCCCGACTACCCCCCGTGATGTGATGTGCTGCTTTCTCAGCCACAAATCATCCTCCTACCTGTCTTCCCGGTGCTCTCCAGCTAGATCTGGCACGGAGGGTTTCCAGCACGGCATCTAGATTTGCCAACAGACATCCCTAGGGAAGAACGGGATCTGGGAGGGCACGGTGGGAATTTATTAGCCTGGCTTAATTGTGGCCCAGCACCCGGCCAGACCTTCAGAGCTGTTGCCTTGCACATCCCACCCCTGAGCAAGACGACCTCCTGCTTGGGTTTTATGCTGTAAAACGGCTGTGTCCCTCCAAAACTGCGGAGGGATCAGCGGCCCTGCTAAACCTGTTACTTTGAGCAGCTTTGCTTAAATCTCAGGGGAAAAAAAAAAAATAAAAAATCTCCACACAGAGAACCTCGTTCCCGGTCAGGCAAGACGCTGCGTGACAGCAGCTTCTGTGATAGCTCTGTCCTTGAGTCCTCTGTTCTCTTCTCTTGAGCTCAAACCTTCCCGCAGAGCATGAGTGCTTGCTACGTGCCGGGTTTGACCTCAGGCCAGTGAGATTTGGGAGGTCTTTTCTTGCTTTCAGACGGCAGCGTGTCCTCAGCTATTTTGCTTCTGTGTTTCCCCCCCCCCCCCCTGAGCAGTAATTCAGCACGGTGTACCTGCTGCAGCCAAAGGCAGCACGTACAGGGGTAAGTTAGCACAGAGGGATGAAGTAAATCCACGTTGTTAGGCTCTGCTGAACGGATTGAGCCCGCAGTGGAAAAAAAGTTTTACTTTCCCAAAGTCAAGACCTGGGGAACTTGCTCCTAAAATGACCCTTTAAAAAATACCAAGTAATGCCACGAAGGAGTCCGTTCACTGCTGGAAATTGCGTTTTGCTTGGTGTCAGCAATTCAGAAGAAACCCATCTGCAGGAAATTATGATGACAATTTCCTCTTGGAGCGAATTACAGCTGTAATTCCTCTGCGCTGTAATCGAGGAGGCAGCGAACAGCCTCGTCTCCCCTTACTTAATGCCAATTACTCCTAAAAGTTGGTGCCATGTGCCTGTGCAGGGATGTCTCTATCCCATCCTGCTACCTAGAGGCCACTGCTGCTGCACTCGCAGGCTGTCAGGAAAAACATACCCAGAGGTGAAAACCAGCTGCTTTTGTGCTGCTTTGTTGTCTCTGATGATGGATATGCACTTGCTATTTTTACACTGTAAATTTTCAGTGCGAGGAGGGTGTCCTGCTGCATGCTTGTAGAGTGTCTGGCATATTTGGCTCTGATTTTGTTGAGATTTTAAGTGTTAAATAAGGAAAAGAGCATCAGAAGTTTGCGGTGTTGTTTCAGCATGAAGAGCCTTCTCTCCTGGAAGAGCGTGCGCTGAGGAAGGGCAGGCAAGAAGAAGTGGTATCATGCAGGGGGAGAATGGCTCAGCATTGGAAGACTAGATGACGTGTGTTTTAAAATAACCCTTTTTCGTAAGAGAAACGCGGAGCAAAACTCTGGCCGGTTGCAAAAGGCTGCAAGTCTACAACTCTCAATGTGTTTGCAAGGCTTTTAGGGTCAAAACTGGTCTTGCCTTTTGAAGGCTGGTAGGGTTCAGGCACATGTGAAGATAACCCACTCCTCAGAGGAAAGAAATAAAAACCTGGGTCGAGAATGTGTTCATGGCAGGCCATTCCCAAGCAAATCCTTGGTGAGGTGACACCATGAGGCCGAGGTATCACTCCAGGACCCGGGGATGACATTTTAGCAAAGATGGAGCTAGTGTGTGTCTGAATTCCGGACCTCTTCTGTGAGGTTTTGCTGTCGGGCTGCTGGCTGAGAAGATCTTTCCCCATCACCACCTGCCTTAGCAGTTGTCAGCATCTTCCTGCTCCTCCCAGCGCTGCTGCTGGAGCCGTTGGGAGTTTGATTATGATTTAATCCAGGCTTTTAGAGGAGGGGAAAAAAAGAAAGTTTTGACAGGTCCATATATAGTCCTCTGACTCACAGATTTCATGTGTCAAACACCGAAGAAGGGTTAAGTAGAATTAAGTTCTGGATTTGTTATAAATAGGCATCAAGTAGCGTGAATGTATTACATTTGCATGAAAATATGGGCCTGATTCTCTAGCTTACCCCAGAGATTTTCTTTGATGTCGATGGGACGCTCCCAGGCAGGTGAGCTCAGATCAGAGCCAGCCCAGCTCCGACCGTCCCCTCCAGCCACCGTTTAACTGGGCCCAGTGAAACGGGGAAATCATTGCTGAAATCAGGAAGGATTTATGCTGCTTGCACAGATCAGAATTTGGCCCTTAAAATAGTACAAGTGGTTTTAATTAGACCCCAAATCTGCAGCTGAAGGAATAATTTCTCCACGTCAATCAGTGCTAAATGTACCTATTAAATCGGGGAAGATGGGTTAAGATGAAAATTGCATACAAAGTCGCTTTTCTTCTGTTTTTCACAGAAGATGAGGTTTGTTGGATTCAGATGTTACAGACGATCTCATCCAGCTCCGATTACTGTTCTGCTCAGCCACAACTTAAAGGTCCACGCAGACAATGAAGTCACCCTCACTCAGAGCAAGACTGACAGTCGAGCATTGTTTGGGTGAAAACAGTCCCCTTTAGTAAAACAAATGCTTCTGCAAGGAGTGTGACAGACACAGACTCTACCAAATCAGATCCCTCCTCAATAGTTTAATTTACTGACTCGTTCGTGGCTAAACAATTGAGAATCGGTCCACAGAGAAGGGACACAAAAAGGACAGACAGTATGGGCTGTATTTTGAGGCTGGATTAGTCCAAGCCAAGGGAAAACAGGATTTTGAGCCGCCCAGTGGCACTGTTTCTGGAAAAATAATGTCCACCCCTGCAGCTCTACCTTTATTCTGAACTGGAGGTTTGGCTCTATTTCTGCTGAGGATGAAGAGAAGCAAAGTGGAGAGAAGGGATCTGCGGTATGACACAGCCAGGGCTACTGAGACAGAGTGACAACCTCATCCCTGGAGACGTTGTCGTTATTATCCCACAGAGCTGTCGATCATGCAGGAACAGCATGAGAAGCTCTGGGAGCTTTCCCCGGCCCCAGCGGGACCCTCAGGCTCCAGTGCCTTCCCAGCATCGCTCTGCCCTTGGTTGCGATTTTTCTTATCTAATGCCACATTCTGCTTTCTGCCATGAAAATAATTTCCAATTAAATGCATCCTCAGAGCCTATCTGGCTGTGAATTAGCCTGGAACTTGATGGCTGGCTTGTTAGCTCATCAAAGTCTCCAGGATAACGGGGAGGCGCAGCCTCGAGAGCGATGCTGCTGGTTGGGGATTTTGCTCGTCGCCTTGAACTCGCCGCAGCCCTGCGAAACGGGACGTGGATGCCCTTTGCTCACCTTCATCCCAGAGCTGAGTAAGCAACACCAGGGCTACAAAACACATCCCTGCTGAAGCCTTCAGCTCTGTTTCGTGCTTCTGCCCTCCAGGGATCTCAGGGCTTGCCGAGTCCCTGGGAAGGAGCCAGCCATGCGCTCCAGCTTATGGGGAAGGGATTATGATGGCTCTCGTGACTCAGCCCACTGCTCCTGTGTACTTCACTGCATGAAAGGAGAAAAGCAGGCGCGGATCCTCAATTTGTCTCCTATATCAGCCGCCTTAAACAGTTTCTGTCCTCTGGGACCTTCCCCAGGTTGGCAGTGCCGATGGTGGGCACCTCAAGGGTGTCTGGGTGTCGAGGGCAAAGACAGTGACGTGGCATTTGCTGCCTCTTCACAAACAAAATGGATAGAAACCAGGTAGGAAGCCCAAAGAGCTGGCTGCAGGGTGGCAAGGAAGGGGAGGGAACGGCAGCTCTGCGGCCCTGAAGCACTGCTGGGTATGGTGAAGCTCTGGATGGGCTCTGGTCTGAGCGAAAGCCTTCAAAGATGATTCAAACTCTGCAAGGACAAGATGAGGGTTCCTGCCTGCTGCAGACACGTGGCCAGGGAGACATCGGAGCACATGCTTCAGGGCTGATTTGGGGCATGGAAGCCCCTTTGGTCCATGTCACACAAGCTCCCAGCACTCCCGTGGGGTAACAGTCTCCATGGAAGTCCCATTCCCACTCCGGTGTGGCAACTGTTGTGGCAACCAGGGCAGTGCCTGTGCCGCAGAGCCTGGGGCAGCGTAGGGCACAGGACAGGGACTGGGGATCTGCTCCCTGCCTGGCTCTCACCTCTCCTGTGCTTCCCACTGGAAACAGGGGCCATTCCTTGGGAACACACGACGCCTGCCGCGGTCCCGTGCCCTGGCTGGAGAGGAAACGCAGCACTCTGCGGTGGGGTGAGCGCTGTCGGGGGGGGACAGGGGAGCCCGGGAGGCTACAGTGGGGCTGGGGGGAACCAGGTTTGGGGGTGAGGGCTGCAGGGACAGCCCCAGTGCCCTCCCTGGCTGCAGCAGGCTGAGGGCTGAATCCAGGCGATATCCCTGACTTGTGCTCCCTGG